AAGGCGCCATGCGTCAGCGGCTGATCTTGGGTTCCAAGTGGCTGCTAGGGGCGACTAAAAGTTCAGCTCGATTTGCTGATGATAAATTTGTTGTGTGAGTCGAGATAAAGGTTGGCGTCTGCTCGCCGAAAGCAATCTTTTCTAGCTCTTGTAGGACCAGTGCAGCAAACCAAACCGGAGATCGGAAGCTCTGAGGTGTTCCCATGATCTGCTGATGGGATTCTCCCTACACGAGGTGAGTAGATAATTCGGCGAAATTCGAAAAAAATCTCACTAGGTGAAAATTTAATAAGTGCACATTATTAGTTTTTGTTAGAGTGTTGTTATGGTGCCCTAGAAGCACTCTAAATCGTCAAATTTTCTTTTCATTTCGGTGAGTTATCTTCTAACTGACATTTTAGGATCCTCGGAATAGTGAAGCTTCTCCTATGCTCGGGGACGTTTACTTCGCCCACACACTCCTTTGATTTGCTTTTATTTCCGTGTAAATGTCTATCACCTTCAAGGCTGCGTCTAAAATCTTTGCTGTTTTATATTTTTTTTTTACAAAAAACTAAATAATAAATGTTACTTGTTTTACCGCTTTATTTTGGTTCTTGACCAAGCTCTAACTGAGAGCACGTTGTGTGTCTGCCCAACTCTCCATGGTTCCCGAGAGGAAGGGGTTGAGTGAACTGGTGACTAAACTAAAGATATAGTTGCGCACGTAGGTCACTGAGTCCTTTTTTCAAAATGAGAAATAGAGATAGATGCACATAAAGCGTTAAAGTTCGTGGGATTCACGTCGACATTAGACGTTTACTGCCAGTTTCTTATCCACCAGAGTCCAAGCCATAGTAGGGCCTGTCGGTGGAGGTTTTTAGGTCGAAACATCTTCTAACAACGACAGCATCTTTTTTATGGTAGTTGGCCTTGCTCGAAATTGCAGTTGAGCCTTCCTTGTCCACGGGTACGATGACGATGTTTTGTCAGTTTTGTCGCCTTACTTGAAATTTTGGACATATGTTTAGAGACTAACTTTTCATTGGACAGCGAATACTATCAATAGCTGAAAGGAGGTCTGATGTGGTCACCTACAGGAGGCTTTCCTGTAGAGGTGACAATGGAGAGACTCGAGGCAATAGCTCTTCCAGTAGTCAACGCTAAGGTTCGGCTGTGATTTGTTGATGATACTTTCGTTAAGGTAAGAAGGATAAACTAGAAACCTTACACAATATTCTCAATACCACGCTTCCTGGGATTAAATTCACGCTCAAGAACGAAACCGACACGAAACGCCCGTTCCTCGACTTCCTTGTACAGCAACAGCTCGATGGAGCTTTACGCACGACCGTTTAGCCCAAGGAGACGTATGTGAA